TACCCAGTTTTAATTCGCACATTTCATTTTATTAAAATTTTTTTAATCAGATTTGGAAGCTTAAATTTCGTTAGCTTATAATTAACCGGTTTTGTTCATCAGCTGCTTATACGCATAAATATCATATCACATACATACATGCATATTAGGGTACACCACCAAAAAAAGTTGCGGTTTTTCTACAGGAATTAAAAAATTTATTATATTTTGAGACTCGCTCTAAAATAACTAAAAAACAAGTTTCGAGATTTATGTGAGATATACTCATTGCAAAATACCTCCAAAAACCTCATTATTTCGATTCCGTTGATACAATTTTCTTCTATCATCTGAATTGATTTTTTAGAAAAAGTATTTTTAAAAGCTAACTAAAAAAAATCGATTTTGGAGGTATTTTCAGTTAGGTCCAACTCACATAAATTTTAATATTTTTCCGAAATATTTTGGCGGAAGTCTTAAAATATAATAAATTGTGTATTTACGACGGAAAAACGGCACCGATTTTTTTTTTTTTTTGTATGGAGACTGATTTCCCCTAGTGTACATGCGGAGAACGATACTGACCTTTATGAATTTTTATTGATTTTTTATTTGAATTGCAAATGAAATTTTATTAATTGCTTGGCTACATACATACGTATATATTAAGGTACGGTTATTGACACCCGATTCACACATATATGTATGTATGTATATAATTTTAATTGTAACATCTTTTTCATTTGCTGTTTCAAAAGTTAAAAATTACTTTTTAGCCAATCCAGAAGAATGTTCGGTGATTGATATAGCCATCTTCGTAACTTGTGATCAATGTTGCCACACAATTTTTGTTATTTTTTACCAAAATCACCGAAAAAAGTTACCAAATTGAACAAAAAATTACCAAACTGCATACGTTATTTTGGCAGTTAGGGCTCGGCATGTGTTGGTTTACAGTTCTGCACATAAAATAAGTTTGGTAATTTTTTGTAATATGTTAAAACTTGTCAAAATATGGTGCGGCTATAATTCTTTCGCCCACTGTATGTAAACAAGGGACAAGAAAATATATCAAAAATTTAACGCTTGAAGGAAAGCTTTCGACTCACGCATAGACAGAGTGAAGTCCCCCGCTGAATGCCGTAGCTTTTTGAACGAGAACATACATATTTACGTAGAATTCTACTCATATATATGGTTGCCGGGTACACCGGAAAATTGATGGTAATTGCAAAGTTGACGAACTGATAGGGAAAGGTAGGACCACCCAGAACCTTCCAGGAAAGGACGCGGGGGTTATACTTAGCAATAGCCACTTTCAAGCAGTTTGTTAAAGATCACACCATTCTAGTAGCCGAGGAACGCTGGAACAACTTTCACCTTGCGAAACTTTCAGGATTACCTGGTATTTCAATAAAAGGAAACGCTTACGGGCCACTTACTAATGTGGAATCAGAACCATGTAAGACCGAATCGAAAAAGTTACCTAATTGAAAAATAAATTACCAATTTACCAAACTTGATAAATGAAGAAAAAAATTACCAATTTTGGTTAAAAATTACCAAAGCGGCAACGCTGCTTGTGATATTACTCACGGTGTTCGTCGATTGAATGAATGTGGCCATTCTCAATCAAGTGGTGTCACAAAAGACCTAACCTATCCTAAATTTTTTAACATATCTGATACAAATTTTACATGTTCCAAGGAATATTAATAGTGTCTTTGAACTTTTAAAAATGTATGTATGTACTAATTTTGAAGAAAGAAAATTGCGTAAGCTTCTTTAATTTTTATTTCCAAAAGAGTTCTTTGATTATCGCTTAGATCCGAAATTCATGATTTCGACTATCAGTCTTCAGGCAACATTCATTATAAACTCTTATTATGGTTGGATTTAGTATGGAAAAACTTTGTGTTGGTGAGCGGAATTCGTTGAAATCAAATTATCCGTTCTACGCTTAATCACTTACGACTTCAAACAAAAGCCCTTGAAATGCAAAATTCGGTAAAACCAAATGCCTTTCACAGATTGAAACTAACTAGAGACGGAAAATTACCCAAGGTTCTATTAGCAAACATTCACAAACAGACTCGAAAAAGCCGAAATACCTTACTAATTTCTACAAAACGAATTCATTAAATATTTAACAGCGTATATATGTATGTGTGCGTGTATATGTATGCACATATACAGTCATGTGAAAAATAATAGAGACACGACATTTTGACCAGTTTTATCACGCATTCGCTTTCATACAAATGATGTTTAAATTTTTTTTTTAAATATTACAAATCGACGCGAATCCTGAGGCACTTGAAACTTACACTTCACTCAACTGGAATTTAATGGGCTATAAAATTGCATACCAAGAATGTTTCTAAAAATCCTTAGTAAAAAGTTTGTTGTAAAAATTTGTTTTAATTTTTTTTTTTTTGAAACTTGGACCTATATGATTTTTGTTAGATAATTAGCTGTACTTTTGTAAAAAAAATAATAAATATTAACCAAAAAAAAAAAAGAAAAATAGCCAAAACTAGTCAAAATTTCGTGTCGTGTTATTTTTCACATAACTGTTTGCGTACATATGTACATTCACTGCTAACGTAATATAACGTGTTTTGAGATAATAAACCATTGCAGCCTAATTAAATTGAAAATGCCCAAGTGTTTGTGGCTTTTGTTTTGAAATAAAATTAGGAAATTAAATAATTTGTAAATAAATTCCTCTTGAATTTTTCACCCGCTAACAGAGGCAGAACTGAATTATAGTTAAGTATAAACGTATGAATTTATTTGCACGTATGTATGTCTATTAGGGTGGTCCAAAAAATTTTATGCTCTCACCCCTTAGGATTTTTCTATACCGAAAATATATACCCTAACCATTTTTTCATAGTAACTACTTATATTTTATAGGCTCGCCAAAAACCCCAGTAAATGCAATGGAGGAACAAAAAAAATATTTTGTGTTAAAAAATGGTTAAATAAACAATTAGGTATTATTATTGAAAGTCGCCTGAAGAGAATTGGATCCGATCGAAAAATATTGATTTTCTTAAATTCTATAGCATTTCTACGAAAAGTTGTTTTTCCCCTTATAAAATACATGGAAGACTTAAAACGCTTTGAGCGACCTCTAAATATTTTTTGATTTCAAAGTAAAAGGGGTGAGAGCATTAAAATTTAGAAAATTTACTTATTTTGGGATTACCCTAATGTGCATATATAGTGAGCACGGGGTATCCATGCATGCATATGCAATCTACCAGGTTGTATCTTATATGATTGGGATGAATACTATGTAATTTTTCCCAGATTTTGCTTAAATTTACCACGTCATTTGAGTTTAAAAGAAAATGTTTGTCTTTCATGTCACTTTTTTTTTTTGAAATTAAATGATATGGCAAAAACTCGTTAAATACATACAAACTAATGTATATACATATATCCACTTGTACATATACATATACATATATGTATGTTCATATACGTATCTAAGTACATTAATATTAATAAATGTATGTGCATATGTATGTGTATGGCATGGCAGCGTGCATTTTGCTTTAAAATTTTTGACTTAATGCCAAATTATTGTTGTACAAACAAGTGGCCAGCTTTTGGCATATAAACATAAAATTTTTACGTAATTTCGCACAGGAAATGGCAAAAATACATGTCAGGCAAACGTATGCTTTTTTTTCAATATTCAATCCAAAAAAAAAAATTGTTGGCGTATTTAATATACTAAGTAAATTTAATTATGCCAGAAATAAAAGATAATGAGTTTTTCCACTTCACCAAGGTGGGATTCTTAACTGCTTATTGTATGACAGATGAGGTGTATTGCTTACCAATAACGGCTATGTCATAACGTAGAAATCGATTACTGTGTGTATCAGGCAGTTGCGAGAAAATAAATATACGTAATTAAACAAACAAACGAAATGAAAAAAATTTTAAAATATAAGGTTAATAAGGTAGGAAAAAATCAATAAAAAGTTGGAACAAATTTAAAAAGACATATCTAGGCATATAAATATGTACCTTGGCCACTAAAATTTTGATAACGGTTAATTCATGTTCTTTGAATCTAATTCAGATGTGACCCTACTAGTGTGACATCTCATTTTTGATATTCGAAAGGACGGTGGAGATCTGAAGACCTTCATCAGAAATTCCTTCACCTATTATATATATTTTACATTAGTGTGTGCCTTATTTGTATGGAGAAAAATTTTTTGGTAAACTACAAAGCAAGACTTTCTTTCTCTACGAAAAGTTTTTCAAATGGATAACGGAAACACGTGCGTCAAGAACCTTAAATTTACATAAGCTAATTCATAAAATTTTATATACAAAATTGTTATTTGTTTCATATCAATCAATGGAGCTTTCTTTATAGAGCTTTTTAGGGATCTTAAAACTCGTCTTTCCATTTTCCGATTCCGGGAATTCGCAGAGCACATTTTTATGACCACATGAATCTATATCGTGAGTGAGTCTGCTTTGTGTGTGTGGATATGTAGATATGACTTTTCGAATAGCTGGCAGTCCCTAATAAAAAATACTTTCAAACTAAAGCTTTCTTAAAAAAGTTTTTTTCCAAAGGCAGCAACTCAAACAGTTGTCAAGCCCCACTTTGACTCTATCCTTTTTTTATAATCTAATCAGGACAAGCAATGCAAAACTCTCGGCAGAGACTTAATTACTCAATTTGAGTCTCTTATCAGTGAAAAATTCCCGGAAGTGAAGCTGTCGCAATGCTAGGCTCATATTTAGCTTTTCTTACCAAATAGGAGAGAGTTTAAATTCTAAGAATTTGTTATTGTCAAGCTCTAAACGAAATGGCTAATCATTGCCTCTCGCGTATTTGATCTGAACATTTTATTAGCCTGCAGAGCAAATAAAAGTGGCATTTATCGAAAAAGCTTTATTTTATTTTATGGGCGAAGCGCTACATGAAGGAAAATAAACACTTATGTATGTATGCATTTGCCAACTACTTATGCTAATTCTACCTTTCTGATGGTTTTTGTGACTCCTTTTGTAAAAATCCAGTTGTGGCATCCTTCAAATTATCCTTAAGTTTCTCATTTCCATTCTCGAAAGGTTTCTTCACCTCCTGCAATTTCCTATCTAATGCATCGGTCACTGCTTCTTTTTTCAAAGCAACAGGACTTGGTGCTGGCTTTACGGTCGGGCTTGATGCGGGCGTCGAAGGTGGTGTGGCTGGTGCGGGTTTCTCAATCGGTTTTGATGGAGTCGGAACCGATGGGGGAGCGACGGTGGCAGCGGGCTTCACTTCTGGTTTAACTGGCTTGAGCTCAGGCACCACTGGTTTAGTTTCTGCGTTTTTTTTTGTTGCACTTGGCTGTGTTTGTGGCTGCAGCGGCAGTTGTGGCTTATTTTCTATAGCATTTTTGCCAAGCTTTATATTCAAGTTATCAAAAAACCAACCGAAATGTTTTCTACAAAAAAAAAAAGTGAATGAAAATGAAAAAAGAAAATTTTTTTAAGTAATTAAAATTAAATTTACCAAATAAATGGGTATAATTAAAAATATAATAAAATAAAATTTCAGTAATAACTGCAATAATGTATGTAACGAGTAAATGTTAAAATGTGTCACTAAAAGCGTGTGTATAATTAGCGCCTATCTATGTATGTATGTACATTAGTGTGCACCAGTACTGTCAAAAATACCCGCTCCTTGAAAGTATCGATAACAAAGAAGTGGATCCTCAAAAGTATTCGATACTTCCCAACATTAATATACGCACATATGTATGTATGTAGCGATGTTTCACAGCCAAATTTTAAAATCGGAAAATCAATTTTAAAAGCTTTACCAAAACGAATCGATTCGTTAATTGCATCTACTTAGGACAGCAATTACAAATCGCTTAGAATAATGAGTGCAAGCATGTGCACAATAAACCGCACCTTTTTCCTGTTATTTCTTTAAAAAATCAATAAGAAATTAAACAAAAAAAAACAAACCACCCGAAACTGAGGTACACAATTTGTAAACATAAAGTTCTATAATAAAAGTATTATTTAGATGGTGCTGTTTCCAACCTGTTGAGACTGTGCAACGCTCATTTCGTCACATGATTTAGCAAATTGATTTTATTTACATACCTACATACATACATATGTACATACATGTCTTTCACTGCTAGGCAATTAACCACTTGTTGCCGATCTAATTTTTGAGTCTACATTTGCACAAAGTATAACCTTCTTTTATACATACATACAGACATAAGTACATATGTAAGCATGTAGATATGTACTTATCTATTGTATATTATGTATACGAAAATGCAAATGCGCTAATAATACAAAAAAAAAAATTGCAATCACTCACCATGACAGTTAATCGGAGTGATTGGTCGGCTCATAAAATGAACAAACGACAAATGGTTTTTAGATAGACGCAGTGAGATATGGATACAATGCATGTTATAAATGAGTATACATATGTATGTATGTATATGTTCATGAGGTGCAAATGCCGGTAGATGATTAATAGAAAAACACCCGGTAAACATTTCTTTGTTGGATACTTAGAAAAGCTCACATTAGAGCTGCAAAATTATCGATATTTACAATATTCGATAGTTTCGATAGTTTAGGTATACATAACTACCGGTAGTATCGTTTAGAGCTAGAAAACTATCGATAGTCGAACGAAAATAAACTAAGATTGTATCGTAGGTATGTATGTTCCAGTACAGTGGTGAGTACTACAACTCCGTAGGACCCGGGTTCGTTCCTTGAACTTTTTAGTTATTCATATCTCAATTACGGAGGCTAACTTCGAAAAACGGAGAAAACAGTTTTTTAACTATGACTCAATCTCTTAAAAAAAAAGAATGGTTTGATCCAATACCCAGCCGAGTGCTGTACAGTGTAATGGTTCCAGTATTTTCATTTATCTGTATTGTAACTATCAATATCTTATTCAGAGAAGTGTAAATTTTTTTTTTTTATACAAAACTAATAAAGAACGAAATTCGAGGATGTGGTGGTTAACGTATTAATACCTGACATATATTTTTTTCAAAAATAAATATTGGAAATTTCCAAGGATATTCAAGGATAAAGTTTTAAAACAACAACATTTATTCGTCTTGGGGCAACAAAAAATTAATTTTTTTTCTTTTCGACAGAATTTGTCCTTTTAATTGATACCCATATTGTTATTCTACAATGCACCGAATCTTTTGAATAATTTTTTTTATTCAAACACATTCTAGAAATTTCAAAGTCCTTTAAAAATAAACTTGACGTCAGAGAGAAAAACTATAAACGCAGTTTTACTATATTTGGCCGCCAGTTTTGTGAATGCGTATATTGATTTTTTCGTGTGTAAAATTGACTGTCGCACGGTGTTATCGGTAAAGATATGGATAAAGGAGATAAAGTTCTGTCAAAATATGTCGATCCTGAGTTAACTACGCACTGTTAATTCTGTCTTTAACCTATAATCTTTTCATGGGAACAATCGTCTTGTTTCTATAGGTAGTAGTACTTATTAATCGAGTCATGTCTACATTTTTCTTTTTTTTTAAAAGGTGCAAGTTTTGTTTTTCTTTCTTCCCACATTTTTCTCCAAAAACCTCTTCACAAAAAATAAAACGAAACCGGTTCAACTTTTAGTTATAAAACACCGAACATAAAAAAAACTAATAAACCTATGACTGAATCACAATCTATCGGCCTAGCGATAGTCCCAAAAGTAATCGACAGTAGTGAAGAGTAAAAAACGTCGATCACATCGATAGTGCCAGTAAATACATCACAATCATCTAATTTCTTTTCAATTACTCGGGTAAAAAAATTACTCAAGGTTTGATTGTTTACTTTGTCTTAGATGATCTCGAAACCTTGAAATGTGTCATTCGAATCTAGTAATCATATCGAGCCCTAACCGCCAAAATAACGTAAGCGACGTTTTTTAAAAATTTTCTTTTTGATGTAGAAATGTATCAAGATGCTCTGGAAATTGGGAAGGAATTTAATTTTCCTCGAATTCAGTGATACAAATTCTTTCGTACCCGTAGCGAGCATTCTGATTCGTGGATTTCGTGGATAAGATATTGTTAGAATCGGGATACTGACTTATTCGAAAATAGCGGAAATAGTGGAAATGTGTTCAGACCAATTTCTCCTATATTTTATTTCACTCGCTAACTTAAAGTTTATTGGGTTGAAATGTGCTTCTGTGCAGAATTGTTCCACATACATATGTACATATGCACATATACCTGCACACGATTGTTGATTCTAACAAATTAGCACAGCAACAAACTCTATTTAAATTTTGAGTAATTGTTTGCGATTAATAAAAGTGTTAATAGAATTGTAGATATAGACGATGACATGGGAAGTGTTTGGCGTCAACAGGCCAAGATGATATGTATGTATGTCGTTTAAAGTACAAAACCGCGTATCGGGGTTCTGCCAATAAATATATTTGCTCACTGTAAGCTCCTGGCATCAAGCCCTTATCCATTTATCGGGATAAAAGAGAGAACCGTTTTGAAATAAGTAAGACAAGTTTTACTCTCTCCTATAAAATTTGGGCAACCTCAAATAAGAGATTTTGCGTTTTATGGATACGCGGTTTTGTACTTTAAACGACGATATGTACATACAGTATCGGCCATTATCATTAGCAACCCAATTTCAACGTGATATTGTTTGTCAGTTATGTTTATTTATTTATTTTTGAGGTTTTTCAATTCATTCAATAACAAAACACACATAAACCCAAGTTTAAATTTTAGTCGAAAACTAAAAAAGTCAACAATTTTTCAACAAAATTTCAAACTTTTTTCTCGGCAGTGTTAGACTTTTTTTTTGTATTATAGCCTATCCGGTTTTAGTGTAAAAATATGCACGTTTCAAGTGCCTAAAAATTTTTAACCACTTGAAACTTGCAAATTCTTGCGCTAAAATCATTCAATTTTCAATAAAACTGTGTGCTCAAATAAAATTCCAACACTTATGAGAAACAAGTTTTAGATTTGGGTGAAAATGTTTTGATTTTTTTTAGTTTTCTACAAAGTTTTAAGCTTGGATTTAGGTTTTTTTTTTTTAGAGAATGAACTGTATTTTAATTGCAAATAAGTGGCAAACAATATCACTTTGAAATTGGGATGGTGCTAAAGTATGACCGATACTGTAAGTACTTCTGCAAATTCGCGAATGTGTGAAGGAGTATTTTTGTTTATTTTATTTTGCAATTTCTTATTTTCTTTTGTCAAACCAAGAAAGAGTCTACGTGACAAAAACAGTGTACGGAGGGAACCATCCTGTGCATGTTTGGATCTACAAAGTGATCGCGATTTTGCGATTTCCAATCTGCTTATGTAGTAGGTGGCTGTGTGCTGCGTACTTAAGTACATACTACTGTCAGCGTCAAAAATATGAATACCCTGACGTTTTGACAATTTTATTTTTTTATATTTTCTATACCAATTTTTTTATAAAAATACAGTTAAATCAACACTAAAAATCTGCATAATTAATTCCTTCGATTTCATATAGAACTCGGGAAAATTCAGGAAATACCAAAAATTGTTGATCAAAATTTTAAACTTTTCAATGCGATTTCTTAGAAAAATTTTGGGTATGCAGTTTTGTAGCAAGTAGGTGCAAGTTTCAAGCCCCTAAAAATTATCGTTAATTTTTTAGAACTTTTTTGTCGCACTTGCCTCCATATAAAAATAGATTTTGTTCAAACTTTTTTTTTCTGTACCCCATTAAATTTTAATAATATAAAGGGCAATTTTGAAGTAGCTTGGCAATTTTTTGTTTTTGCCGACGGCTTGTGCTTTTTCCACCATACAAAGTACAAACTGCTCGACGATTTTTTATATGGAAAATAAGAAGTCTAATTAAATGTCTGAATTTTTTACAAAAGTTTGTTGAATGTTGCAGAAGGTTTGCAATTTGGATTTACAGGTTTCTTGCTTGAGAATAAATTATTTATATTTATATAAAAAATAATTAAAATTAAATATCTAACAAAAAATTCAACTATTAAAACGTGTAATTTGTGGTGCGGTTATAATTTTGACACAGGGTGTGCATAGTACATATGTACATACGTTAATCTTGTAAACAAGATTGTGCTAACATTTGCATTAATTTTTACTCAATAATTTATTTGTTTATTTTATTTTATACGTCTCGTAGATATTCGTCAACTCAATGGGAATAGAATTACATAATGCGTTGATGATTCCACAAATAATTGCTTCATATATATGTATGTGTGTATTTACGCACACACATATGTATGTGATGATGTGTAAATAAAGTTGAATGAAGCTCTATTATAAAGAAATTATGACGACGATCGTTGTTTGTGGGAAATTTTTTCCAACAATGTTATGTATGTATGTATGTATATTAAAAATTGGCAAAATTTTGTTACTCCATACTAAATGAACATATTTTTTTTCAAAAGTTACATTAGGATGTTTTTCCGTTTCCATCCGTACCGTTAAATTTCCGCCGCTTGCAATGAATTACCAAATATAAAATATCGTGGGTTTTGCTTTTTGTTCCGCTAATGCTTTTGTGTGTGTGCCTCATTAAACTGCGCAAGCCTAAAAGTATGCTATAATCTATAACCAATATCGCAAAGCTCTTAGAAAAATTTTTATATCCGTCCGACCGTTAAAATTTAAATATTTAAATTTTGTCAGAATAGTGTTGCATTTATGCTTATTACACGGTAAAATCCAAAAGTTCCTAACTTATCAAACTGCCCTCGTAGTTTCACACACATAATTAAGTCTATTTTAACTAATATTGACTTACCGTATTTCATCGATTGCAAAAGACAAGTACCACAATGCGAACATTTTCTGAAAAAGTAACAAAATCCATAAATCAATTTAAATAACAAATTCTACATACATATTTAGAGATAAATAAGAAATCGTAGCATCGTATGTGTATAATTACATAATCATTTTTTGCAATGCAAGATTTATTTAGAAAATTTCTAATAAGTACTTTCTTTTTGCTTAACAAAGAATGACAGAGATTCGTTCCAAAATAAGTCTAATAACTAAATTACACTATGCGACATGGAAATATATTACATACATTTCGCGAGACAAATATCAAATTGTACTGAACTTTAGGGCAAAAAATATATACATGTTTTTCCGTCGGAAATATAAGGGTCATTCCATGCAAAATATACATTCAAAAACTTTTTCGTGCGAAACATTTTTTTTTGTATTCTTTGAGGCAAAATATTAGCCACGTATTTTTTTATTTCGACACAATATACAAAATTTTGGAGTTATGAATTTTCAAAAATTTCACGCTCGAATAAAATACCTCTAACCATTTGCGTATACGAAGCAAAAAATATTTCATTATAAAAATAACTAGCCGACCTAAAGTTTACGCTTTTTTCTTAGCTTTCCAATGAAAAATACGTTGATTTTTTTCAACCTATTTTTTAGAAACAAAAGGTACATTTTTACAAACAAATGATTTTTTTTTTCAATTTGAAACTATTTTTATTCAGTTATTTTTATTGAAAAATGTGCATCATAAAATTGTTAAAAATTTTTACAACGGAAATAAAAAAATAAGATATTCAGAGACATTTTCAAATCGGTCTAGCTAACGTAAATCTTAATATTCTTCCGAAATAGAGAAGACCGCAACTTTTTTGGTGATACATCCTAATGTACATATTTATATTGAAAACCTGAAAAGCGCTGAGCGTCTGAAAATCTTGTTGTGGAGTTGTACTCTAAGGTTGGTTGCATTGCAACTCGCGTAGGTATGCCCGAGTTCGCACTGGGGACGTCGAAGAAGCTTGTATAGATAAGTAGCCGTCCTAACCTTATTGCGGAAGTGTCACTGTGTGGTGTATCATGATTATCGAACCATCGTGGCTCTGCAGTAAAATAGAATCAAAAGTACTTATTGAATGTATTGTATAAGCCTAAAAATGTATGCCATCATAACTATAAACAAACTACACTCAGCGTCAAAAATATGAAAACCCCGATGTCTTGACGATTTTATTTATTTATATTTTCCATTACAAATTTTTCTTATTTTTTTATAAAAATATAATTCATTGAACAGCAAAAATCACAAGAATCAAGTTTTTTTAATTTCACACAGAACTCGGGAAAATTCAAGAAATACCAAAATATTTTCATCAAAATTTCAAATTTTTCAACTCGATTTCTTAGAAAAGTGTTGTAAAGTGCAAGTTTCAAGTCGCTAAAAATTGCAGTTGATTTTTTATTTAGGGATTTTCAAAATAATCTCCATTTGATACCCATATTATGATGGATGTTTCAATTAATTTGTAACTAATTTCGAATAGGTGGCGATCTTATACGAGTCCTCGCGGAGATAGTACCTATTTAGATAACCTTAAAATGCACAAAACATTATCTGCGTACAAAATATCATCAAAATCGTTAGAGCCCTATCCGAGAATCCTATGGATATATGTATATGTATATGTATATATTCATATACAAGAATTGCTCGTTTAATGAAATAAGAAAATAAGAAATGGAAATGATTTTAAATGGTGATAGAAAATTTTTCAAAATGTTTATATTTTCTCTCAAACGTTCTATGAATCATACATGCACTACATATGTATGTATTAGGGCTGTGCGATTAATTGATTATTCAGAATTTTAATTAATCATAAAGTAAATAACTCAATTATTCGATTAATTGGAAATTATGATTACTCAAATGTTCAGTTACTCGAGTAATCAAGATTTTGATTAACCAAAAACAAATTTATTTGAGTAATTTGCTTTATGATTAATCAACATTATGAATAAAATGAGTAATGAACATTTCAAAGTACTCTTTACATACATACATATAAAGCAGTTGAAGTTCCTTGATACTGTGAAAAAAACGTTTCCGTTTTCAAAAATAAAAAGGAAATACATACATACATACATATTTTTTCATATACAGAATATAAAAAAGAAAATAGGCATTTTCCAAAGCAAACTCTTTTAACGAGCAAAATTAATTTTTTTGAGTAATCATATTTCAAGTAACTCGATTAATCATCGTTTTGAGTAATCAAAATCTTGATTACTCGAGTAATTGATTAACCGAATAACTGATTAACCAACTTGCTCGAGTAATCGAATAATCGCACAGCCCTAGTATGTATGTATGTACATATTAAGATTTTGAATACTGCTAATGGCTCTATGACTAGTGTTCAGTACACAGTACTAGGCAGTTTAGTCATTCTGACACTTTGAATTTGCTCATACAAATATATTTATAGCCTGTGTACGCACATACTAGGACATTCAATCCCGAAATCCCGGGACTACAGCTCCGCGATCCCGACACTTTTACTGAGTCATTTATGGAATAAAAGAGATGTTGAAAAGGAAAAATTAACTCATTTGACATGAAAAACGAGATGTACAGAACACCAAAAATTTTGATTCAAAGTGAACTGGAGCCATTTGAACAGGGACGTGAATTTCAGAACCGGCCTGAATAATTGTACTTGTTCAAACATTTTGTGCAAAAACTGTGTAATAACGAAAAATCTGGTAGCAATTGAAAACACAACAAGATTTTACAGTGTGGTTGTTCCTCATTTTATTTTGTTGGCGTTTTGTGGAAAATGAATTTCTGAAGATACATATTAGTAAAGGGGTTTTTACAATTAATATAGATATTTAAAAATTTTTTACTGAGGTGCATTATGCTCCCCTTAAAAAGGCGAACCTACTGTTAAATGCAAAAAATGTGATGAAGTCGAAACCCCGAAAAATTAGATTAGAATTTTTTGCATTCCGAAATCCCAGGATTGTTAAAATGCTTCGGGATTGAATGCCCTAGTACATACATAAAATAAATAAGTCTACAAGATTTGTTTAAAATTAGCTCTAATGCGACAATTTTGCAGGCTAAATTGAAAATAGAAAGCTTCCTGTAGCTTTACGTTTGGAATACTTAAGTCTACATAGGTGAATGCACGCAGTTGCAATGATTATATGTAAAAATTAGTGTATGCATGCACTGAATATGTACACAGCCATTTTATATACTTTTTAAATTTATTTATATTTAAATCTTTTTGAACACATTTTCATTCACACGTAGATACTCTATACAGATATACTCCGCCACTTAGCAGAGCAATTCCTTCTAAATTATTCTGCTTAAGAAGCTAAACTAGAGGAAAATTCTACAAGTGGTATCGACAAGAGAGCGGGGCCTAAATCCCACTTCCGAACTAAAAATACACAGTACAGTTTTTAATCCGTGGCAACAAATGTTTCAAGTAGGTACAACTTGTCGATTTGAATGATACCGAATACAAATCCAAATTTGTACTCAATGAAATTATAGAATAATCTGTTTTCTATAGGAATCTACTGTTTTCGGGTGCTGTCTTTTTTTGAAAGTAATGCAGAATCTTGATGGTATGCCATTTTTAGACACACCACACCTGTCGCCAAAGAGGCAAACATAGATGTATGTAAGTGCAAGTAACGTTGACATGGGGAGATCAGTAAAGTTAATCTCTTACTTTCTGCTTTCTGCTTTCGATTTCTTGTACTTAAATAATATGAGCAATTACCCCCTTCGAGTTGTAATCTCCTTTTTCCAAGAGGCATAAACAGCAGTTAAGGCTTGGTGGAAATGAACTATTAAGTTAAAGTGGTATCGATACCTGTACTTTGAAGTAGCATCGAAGGAAAGTATCGATACCTACTAAGTATCGGGCTAAAAGTATCGATACCTACTTATATCGATATTTGAACCTACATATATAAGAATTGTTTATATAAAAAAAAAAAACGCTACATATCACATATCTCTGATTTTTTGTCAAAATAACGTATGTGACTATAATTTTTAATTTTAGATGAATAGTCTATATATATAAAATTCAAATTATGTATGTACCTATAGACACACTTGGCTCCTAAACGAATAAGCCGATCGTAACCAAATTTTACACACGCACTGGATATCTTCCAGGGATGGTCACAGGGTAAAAAATATTTTGATATATAAAGGGGGCGTGGCCCCAAAACGTGGACCCGGGTAACCTTAGGATGTATTTGTTTAATATGG